ATCAAACTAATGTTTTTTTGAAGGTTTTGATGATTGGCATTTATATCACTTGTTTATGAGCTTATGACACTGTACTTTGAAACTGTATGATATCACAGGTACTTGTGGACAGGACACCCCCCCCCCCCCAAAAAAAAAAAAAATATACACCCCCGGGTCAAGATATTTTTTTTATGTCTTTTTTTCATAAATTATTCTTTTAGTACACATTTACAATGTATTCTATATGAAAAATCCAAAAAATAACGCAGAATTAACGTTTTAATAAAAAATCATACCCACGGTATTATAATGAATGTTATTTTGCGCGCTCGTGTATGCACGTGCGTGCGTATGCAATGAGTGAGATGACTAAAATTCTTAATATAGCCGTTTCTTTTATATTTTTTCATGAAATGCTTTGATACTCAGAATATAAAGATTTATTAGTAATCCAGACAAGATGACTTGGTTAGCACGCATGTGTGTGGAGCGAATGAAATGAAGAATATACTTGATGCAGGTGTAAATCATAGACATATTTTTATTGAAATGCATTGAAACTAAGAACATAAAGATATATTAATAGTCCAGAAAAAATGACATGATCAGCATGCACATGCATGCAAGTTCGTGTGTGTGTTAGAGTGAAATGACTAAATAAATATTTTGTACATATATATATATATATATATATATATATATATATATATATATATATATATATATATATATATATATATATATGCGATATGCGTGTGTGTGTATGTGTGTATGTGTTACAGTAAATATGTGAAATCAGGAATTTCATGTATTTCCTAAACCATTCAGTAAATACATGTATTTACTGGCCGTTTTAGGAAATTCGTGTAATTACTAAATAGCTAGGAAATTCATGTATTTACTGAAAATTTTAGCCAATTTATATATACATGTATATATATAAATAGAGAAAGAGAGTTAATTTTAGTGTTTTAAAATTTATTTTCTGATAGACATTTATGCGTAGTTTAAAAGTTATTATACTAGACAATGGGATTTTTTAAAAAAAAAAAAAAAAAAGAAAACAGACTATAGGAATGTTTTTTTTTTTTTTTTTTTTTTTTTTTTTGTCGAAACTGACCCTAACCTACAACCTTTAAATGGGTCACTAGAGACCATTTAGAGAAATTTAGAATAACATTTGTAGGGATATATAAAGTTGACCCGAAAGTACCATGCAAAATACATTGTTATATCGTCTTGTTCAAAGTAACGGTCTAGGGAAAGTGAAAAAAGTCTTATTGTCCTTCCTGATATATTTTATTTTATCAAATAAAATATACAACATGACTATCTTCCCACTTGCTGCTATGCTGCATATTTAATAAAGTCTCTTAGGAAGGACACTATAAAACAAGACTTCAACAGTCTTTACTACTGGTTCCCTTTTAAAGGTTATATTTTTCCAAAAAGTTTTTTTTTTTAATTAATAATAACAATACTTATTATTAACAGCCAGGTATCTTCAACACAATGATTGAAGAGGCCAATGGACCACATCGCTCACCTGAGCACATTGGGTAGTAAAAAGCAGAAATCAGGTCAGTGTCGAAAAGTTTACGGGGGGGGGGGGGGGGGGTTGAATTTACACTACCTGAAGATGCTTCCATACCAATATAACTAATTATAGCTTTGCTATACCGTATGTACGCTTTACCGTATGTATACATCTACTGACGTATTCAAAATTTAACGCAATCACTGGGTACTGAATGGTTGGCGTAATCATGAATTAGTGCTACATGCGCCCGCGCCTATATTGTATTTATTAATGATTTTTACGGTATTTATGAATTTGCACAAATTGTCTGCGCCAAAGCCGCTAAAATATAAAGTCCGCTTTTTAAAGTACACATACCGTATTCCTGTGCAAAACTTTGATCGCCCATTGTGGACAATCCTACCCTTGGGGGTCATGATTTCAACAAACTTGAATCTACACTACATGTGGATGCTTCCATATTAACATAACTAATCATTGCTCTGCTGTTCTTGAGAAGAAGATTTTAAAAATTAGTATGCTAATGTAAAACTTTGATCCCCCATTGTGGCCCCACCCTACCCACGGGGGTTATGATTGGAACAAACTAGAATCTACACTATCTGAGAATCCTTCCATATCAATATGATTAAGCATGGCTCTGGTGTTCTTGAGAAGAAGATTTTTAAATATTTTTTACTATATATGCCTATGTAAAACTATGTTTCCCCATTGTGTGTGTCTTCACCCTTCCCCTGGGGGTCATGATTTCAACAAATTTGAATCTATTCTACCTGAGGATGATATGACTAATAATTGTTTTGCTGTTCTTAAGAAGAAGATTTTAAAGATTTTTTCATATAGCTATTCCGATGTATAACTTTGATCCCCCATTGTGGGTCACCCTAGCCAGGGGGTTTTGACTTGCTTAAATTTGAATCTACACTATGTAAAGAAGGTTTCAACTTTTTTGGCCCAGTGGTTTTTGAGAAGAAGATTTTTAAGAGATACCACCAAATTTTCCCTAATTTTTAATTTTCTGAATTATCTACCCCTGAAAGAGGCGTGGCCCTTCATTTGAACAAACTTGAATCCCCTTTATACCCAAGGATGCTTTGTGGCAAGTTTGGTTGAAATTGGCCCAGTTGTTCTTGAGAAGAAGTCGAAAATGTGAAAAGTTTACAAACGGACAGACAAACGGACTACAGACAAAATGTGATCAGAAAAGCTCACTTGAGCTTTCAGCTCAGGTGAGCTAAAAAGTACATAAGCAACAACTGAACCTGACATTCATGCAGAGCATTTCTTGCCTCCGATGACTAGAGTGGGGAATGTCTTGCGAATTATGTATTGATCCCTGCTTTATCAGGCGGGACGGTTAAGTCGGTCCAAGGAGATGAAGGGAATACTAACCCCACGGAAGATAATCGGCTTTATCTAAACCTTCTAGTCCGAGCCTATTTTTGGTTACGTCAAAATCGAAATGCTTGATTACCGCAGTGAGTCAAATTATTTCTTGAATTTGTGTAAGTGGCTGTAATTGCGTGGGTTTTGCACTGGTTACAGGGCATAAGGTTTTAGAAAATATTGTCTTCTTGGCTTCCACTTATTAGAAAAATGAAGCCTATCAATATAGAAGATGATTCATAGCTCAAGTCATTGGTGAATTTGATGTATTTTGTGTGGCTGCAAACAGTCAAGATGGACATTTTTCATTTTGATAACATAAATTTGTATTTAAAGAAACATTTTCAGAGGACATTTAAGTCTGGCATTAAAAAAATATATATATCGATTTTTTTTTTTGGTTTGCATTTTTTTTGGAGGTGGGTAGGGTGGGTTAAATTTCTGTCTGGCAAATGATTTCTTTTTTTATGTATATATATATATATATATATATATATATATATATATATATATATATATATATATATATATATATATATATGTATATATATATCACATGTGTGGTGGATACTACCCATAAGATAAACCTATGCTTTATCCACGGGTATGTGCTTCATCAATAGCACACTCGGTTTCGATACAATCCCTCGGCCTCGCTTCAGGATGTAAATTTATCGAAACTTCTAATTGTGAAAGTTCTGCGCTATCAAATAAATCATAATGAGCAAAAATGTCCGTTAAAAATAAGAAAAAACTCTTTACACTTCAGCGAAATGTCAAAATTATCAATGTACTGGCTACAGGGATGAAGAATGCCCCCCCCCCCCCCCACACACACACACACAGAGGAAACGTTAAACCTAGCAGTTAAGTTGTAGCTGGAATATTCCTTTTTACCATGCAGGAAAGTCTAGATACTTTCAACAATGCTTTCTTACATTCATCTATACTAACTAAATAACTTACCATGGATCTACAAATAGTCTAGCAAGTCGTAGTTACCGTACACAGAATGATTTCAGAGGACGAATCGTGATTTCTTGGTCCTTATGTACAACACTACAACTTCCAGTCAAAAGTTTGTATGAAATATATCACCAACAGATTTTCACATATGTTTTTAAAAGATTTCAGGATTTCATATTCTGTACAGTCATGATCTTCAAATAACTTTCTTTCGGCATGTCAACTTCAACAGTGCGACGTCATCAATTTGGGTTGAAATCATTCATAGTTTCACATGGATTATCTCAAAGTTTTGTAAAAAACGAAAATCGTATGAGATAAATAGAACATCTATAGTTGTGTGATTTGATATTTACTTTATCCAAATCGTTCAAATTGTGTATATTCGCTCGGCAAGCCTGGCAAATATACACCATTTCAACTCGTTGGATAAAGCAAATATCAAATCACAGAATATAGATATCCTATATATATATATATATATATATATATATATATATATATATATATATATATATATATATATATACCCTGCCTCTGATAAATTAAAAATCTTGAAATTTCATTGGACGAAAAGAATACTGTATTAAACCATATCATGATGCCTATCGACATTATATTGTTAATGTGCCCCTTCCACGTGACCTACCCACCACACATCAAATTAATATGCCCCCTCCACTTGCTATACTGTCCAGATCATATTCAATATGTTGTTTTCATTTGAACACGCAAAGAGCATAATAACTGACGTCAAATAAGCATTAAACGACGTCACAATGTAAACAATTGTTACGAAACGGAGAAAATTAAGGAGAAGATTGATTAAAAAAAATTTCTGTTTTAAAAACTTTTAAATGCATTTAATAATATACCGCAAAATAATATTTCTGAACTTCTTATATAGATGTTTAATGTAAAACAGTAGGTCACTGCTCCATAAATGAGCCCGGCTCTCTGTACTTCTAATGCGTTCGCTGACGAAGGTACACTAGTAAACAGGTTCTCTTATTTGTTGCGTACAGTTATTCTGTGTCTCATGTCTGACCGATGCAATTTCGTACATTAAATTCTACAGAATTGAACATCCATTTATTAGGTTAAATTTAATAATTTACTTGAAATTTTATTTCTATTAAATAGACATTTTTTTTATAATGGAAAACACAAGCATATTAAAAAGCCTTTTATGATAATCAAAAAGCGCGTATTACTTGATAGTAAGAACTTGTTCTATATATTTACATCAGGAATTACATTTTTCAGTTGTAGAAATAAGTATAAAACAGGAAAGTTTATAATGATCAGTGTTTGTAATAAAAGGAAAATGAGGCGCCATTTTCTTTTGGTTCATAACTGTCCATTTCTACATTTTTAGTATTCACAGAGGTTGTGTCATTATCTTCAAATGTTTCCCATTTTAAATGATTTTGTCCTGCTGCATTTCCAATTTCTTTTAGGTGTCCGTTAGAGAAACAGCCATTTTGTATGTAGGTGTTGTACTGTTTAGAAGGGGGATCATCGATGAGAACGTCCCGCTCATCTTCTACAGGTTTGTATAGGTATATAGTTCGCAGACACAACAGTAGCGGGGCATACAGTACATTACTGAGAAATATGGCAACATTAAGCCATAGAAACCCGATTGTCTGTACGATCTGACCGGCCATAACGGGACCAAGAGCATATGCCAAGGAATATGATATGTCGGCAATAGCATAAACACTTCCGTATATTGATACATATCTCAGGTCAACAAGGTAGCCTAAAGTGGGTAAAATTGCTGTATCGACAAGGGCTACTCCCAAACACAGTCCCATTATTGGAAATAATACCACAAAAAATTGTTTAGCAAACGGAATAGCCAGACAGCATGTCCCTTCGATGATTAGCCCCACGGAAGTGATGAGCCACTGATATTTTGGATAGTTTTTTGCGAGTCTTACCGTTAAGTAAACGCCTCCGATATATGGTAAAAAGGCAGGAAGCCAAACAAATCCTATTTCCCATTCAGAAGCATCCATGGTACCTTGCATCCAAAGTGCAATAGTAGGTTCCAAAAACGCAAGAGATACATTAGACATTGCAAGAGCTCCTGCTGCCACCGCGATATATGGATCTATCAAAAGCCGATATATTGGGGTTCCTTTAAGTCCATCTTCAGAGAGTTCCCTTTCTTTTCTCATAGGTTTCATTACGAAAAGGAGAAGGACGCCATCTATTAAACACAGACAAGAGAGAAATATAAAAGGAACGACCTTTCCAGCAAACTCGAAAAGAACACCACCAAATGGAGGTGCAACCAAACAACCAAATGATATGAAGGCTTGGGCTATTCCTAGAGCCTTTGTTCGTTCAGCGTCGTCTCTAAATCTATCTGCAATCATTGCAAGTCCTGAAGTGTCAGCAAACGCAGAGCCAACACCTTGTAAACTTCTTGCCACGAACAGGACAGCGTAACTTTCGCCAAAAGCAAACGCAATCGTCGAGAAAAACATGATAGATAATCCAATCATTAAAGGTCGATCATATCCTATTCTATCTATTAAAGCTCCAGTAAATGGATTAATGAAAAGTTGCACAATTGCCTTTGATGCAAAAAGGACACCAATTGCGCCTCCTCCTTCGGCATAAGCTAATGGCTTTTTCGTTGTTGTTGAAAAAGTGGTTGTAATGTTGGTGATAGTACCATTATTAAAATCAGTGTAGTTGTACAGCGTAGAGTCGTTTCCAGTGCCACTTCCTGTTAGAACCCCCTCATCCTCAAAGTATTTATCCAGATAAAGAGGAACTATTGGTACAATGACCATGTAAAGCATATTATCCAGAAGCAAAGCTATACACACAATAATGAGTACGAGGCGCCTCTGCTGGATAGGGTCATTAATCCTATCATTCATAATCTGCAAGAAGCTACTACATTTCTCTCGGACCAAATCCTGTACATATTCCATTTCCAAATTTAGAATTAAAATCCTTGGAAACTGAGTACAGTACCTTGAAAATTGTCAACAAGATTTGCGGATTCTCCGTCATCCACTGAATCCTCTCCTTCACAACACTTTAGGACCTTCCCTCTTTGTGCAGCGAGTCCTTAAAGAGTAGAAAGAAAGTGGGTCCTGTTTATATTTAGTACAGTCATAAAGCGACATAATGCAATTCTATTCATTTAAGAAACTCTAATAATTTCTTATTGGAATTTAACTGTAAGTATTGTTATTATTTCACAATGTAGAGATTCTCAAATTGAGTCGTTTCCAGTAACTTTGATATACTAATTTGAGGAGATTTACAAACGCTCTCAAGTGAAAACTGAAACTTTTACATAATTACTGAAGGTAATGAGCACTTGAAAATAGCGGAAAATCTTTGTCTACAGAGAATTAGTCTGATTTTCTCCTTCGTGTCACTCTTTAACTTCCGCTTTTTTCGATTCACAAATTCATTGCTTTTTTTTTTTTTTATTAAAGAGACTTCTCATTTTCCGGTGTGTTGACCAGTCGGCGTCCACTCATTTAACGGATGTTCATTACACGTTGGTTTTCATAGTTAATAGAATCCTCCCTAGAGGCAACCTTCCTCGTTGTCAATTTATTAACTACATTTATACCACAAATCCAAACTCTGGAAACCAATTTGTAGATTGAAATAGTTAAGCAACACAAAAATTAAATTACGTATGCAGTGATTGAAGGGACCCAAATCATCTTGGCTCTGAGAAATTGGACATACACAGAAAATCTGATAGATTTGGTAATGATCAGGGCACAAACTCGTGTTAAGGAAGCTAATAGGAAAGGGATCCAGATTCTTGAAGACTACGCTGCAAAATACCATGGGACAAAAGGACTGCGAGGCAGAGAATTCGAAGTAAGGAAGATTAGACAACAAAGATTCTATAAGCAACTCTAGTAACAATTACTTCAGACCATCACTGACCAGATCTGTTTTTATATGTATACTAGTAATTTACAACTTTCTATTTTTAATAATTTATAAAAATAGATTACAAACTGAGTGTTGATTATATTTTTGCAGGCTTACATAGTATAGACTGTTTTTGCATCATCCATGAAATATCTGTAATAATGACTCAGAATCCTCTCAGTTTTTTAACCTACATTCAATGAGGGTAGTTGATTAAAAGGCTTTAATCGAAGCACGAAAACATCCCTAATAAATTGCTTCCAGATTCTTGCTTGCAGATTATTACAATTTCATGTTTCAAATTTTCATTGCCACTCCCGATTACTTGTGAATGAAGATGAATTTACGCCGTAACTCTGTTTCTAAATTTTTTTTGTACATAAAATGCAGCAGACATAAAATATCCTTTCATTTAATTTTGAACATATTTTTTTTTCAAATCCGTTGAATCCTTGAATATATGATTTTTTTTCTCCATGACCTAGTAAAAGAGATATGTGATAGTATATGTATTGTTGAGAAAATGCCATATGTTATCAGACGAATGGGTATTGATGAAACGAAAGAAATTTCGACGTAAATGAATCATTGCAGGTAAACCTTCAGTTGAATCGATTTCTAGGCATGAATAATGGTTAATCGGCAACGACCCACTGTTTTATAATGTCAATAAACCATTACAATTTAAAGTTGATAAATATTTCAGAAGTTTTTGGACTTCTTAAGTGTTCGGTCATAGTTTATAATCGATTAAATTTCTTTGTCTAGATTTAGTTCTTAAACTACCTTATAATTAAACGTAGTCAACCCACGACTTTTTGCACATTGCATAACATCTTAAATTATTTCCAAGGCTAAATCAATTTAAAGTATATTGCCTAATCTTTTACACACACACACAGACACACGAGAGAGAGAGAGGGGGGGCGTGCAAATCGACAGCACAGCATCGTTTACAGCACTTACATACAATTAATGTTGTAAAGAATCTATGCATAAAAAAATCAAGTGATGTGTTCGTCATGCAAAATAGAAATGAACACCAACACAGTCAAAAGCTAATGTCTGACTGGGAATAGAAATACTCTTCTTTCAGAGAATAACTACCGGAATTTGACATCGAAATTACACCATATGTCCTGTTTTATGAGTGTGGCTCAGATATAAACGTCATGCAATTGCTAATCAATTTCCATCTTGTAGCAACCGTCACTATGAGAAAAAACCCACAAAAACACAAAATTCTAATTTCTTAACAAGAAAATATTCTAGGTGTTTAAACTATTTTATGTTTTTCTATTTAACGTATCACAAGAAGATATTAATCCATCTCATTAAGCCTTCTTCTTCTTCTTTTCCCTTTAATCTTTCGCGCAATTAATGTTTATTTTTAGAGAATAATACATTCCCTTTTCCATATCACATCCTGTAACAGACTTTGACACTCGAGGGCTGATACAGGATGTGATATGGAAAGAGTATGTTATATTATATTTTTTACGTACTCAGGAATAGCACACATCTATTTGAGTAAATACAAATAATAAAATCACTGACTAGCTTATTATTACGAAGAATAGTAATTTAAATTATTAAAATGTGAAAAAAGGAAATAAATTTATCATAAGTACTCCTTTTCAAAGAATTAATCGCCGAGGGGTGTGATATACAGCTCTGCAGATCCATATCAGCCCTGGAAGCTGATATGACTATATATATATATATATATATATATATATATATATATATATATATATATATATATATATATATATATATATATATATCACGATGTAGTACCTAAACGGTTTCTATCAGAGCAAAAAAGCGTTCATTGTTTCTATTCGTAAATTTTACGGCTGCTAGCTGAAATAAATATGTTGGAGGAACTTGTAACAAGAGGTAAAATTGTCAGAAAGTGACCCCAAATCGATTAAGTCTCAGAAAAATCCTTGTGCACGGAACAAGTAAGGGATTTCTTTAAATGATACCTGTACCCATTCGCAAGTCAATATACTCCAAGTTTCCATGCTTCTTTCATCATTTATAGGTTAGTCTGAGTTCATTTTGGTATGTAAAGATGTGTCAATCTATAATAATTCGTAGATATGATAATTTTTTTTATAAAAGAGTGTATTTTGAAAGAAATTTTTGGACAAAACACTTTCTTCTTAAGTTACGATTACTATCAGAATGTTGGTAATGGTATGCACTGGCTATAAACGGAAAATAATGCACCGGCTGCTATTTGAAATATAATTTGTTTTTCAATCAAGAAAGAGAAAATTAAAAATCTTATGGCTGCACAGGCCTAAAAAATTATTTAAAACATCCAAAGAGCATATGGAACACAATGTCTACATGTACAATTTTTATCAACTTAACTCGAATTTGTTGTGTTCTGCCAAGTAGAGCTGATCTTCGAAAAACATCACTATACAAAATCAAAAAGAAAGCTATACAAAGGAAACGTAAGTTTAAATTAAATGAAAGAACTTTACCATCAGTACTTCAAAAGCTTTGGAAAGCTTTCGAAAACTAGTTTTTTTCCTATTTTTGTGGCCTATATGTATACTTAGACCTAAATAATATCTAGTAAATTTTCAGTATAACCTTTGACGGTAGTGCTTTGGTACGCTGTAGCATCAGAAAATACAATTAACACGCATTATTCAAACCATCGGATCTTGAATGGAGAGGATGTCCGATTCCCCCTTTTGGATGATTTTTCTGGATTATTAAATTTATACAGATAGAAGAGACAATCACCCCCCCCCCCCCTCCCTCAGTGAGGGCTCGAAAGAAGGATTTTTTATTCAGATGGAGAAGACTTCTACTTGTTTGCTTATCAATTTTCTTATATTTACTTCTATTTTTCTCTCTGTCTCTTTTGAGTGGGCTTGGAACCCCCCCCCCCCCAAAAGGTGGAGATCCGAACATGAAGAAGGCTAATATTTTATCCAGTAAGTAAAATATAATTATGTACATTTAAAGGAGAGAGCATTACAATTATTTTCAGACATATGTAGTCTTTTTTCGAAATAGAAAGGGGGGAGGTAATTGTGTGCAATTCCACTTTCGTATTTTCAATACATGTACATATTTTTTTTTTGGATATTAAAAGTGTTTGACCATACTGTACTTGTACATCAATAATTGAATTTAAAAAAGTAGTTTATTGAACTGGATGTAAAATATAGTAGCATTTATAATAAGGTCTGTTATTCGAGCGAGCCGCTCACTTTGATGAAACTTGTAAGGATGGTGTACCTAGGGTTGCCTTGCTTATACATAGGATCCGATGCTGTTGATCTGGCTTTCAATTTTTGAAAAGTGTTTGGAACAAGTCCATTCTAAAGAAACTATATTACCACAACTCGTTAGATAAAAGTTTATATCCAACCAATAGATAAAAGTTTATATCCAACCAAAAAAAACCCCCCAAAACCAAGAGAGATCCTTTATTTGTGAATCTGGCATAATTACCCAAATTCAATAGAAGGTGCACATAATTTAAAGACTAACAACTTTACTGTGTGCAGGATACTTAGTAAATGTACAGGGTATTTACAAACACTACTATTATTATTAGTCATATCATACATATAGATATAGAATTAAAGAATATAGAAAGGATCGAAATCAAGGTAATATAAATATGTCAGTTATTAAAAAGAATATAGAATGAACATTTCAAATATAGTTTTCTGAACTATTGCATAATAGATGTAAATTAAGGACGTGCATTAAAGAAAAACTGAAAACTTAAGGCATTTCCAATAGAAACCGGTGTTGTTGTCTAATAGTAGTCGTAACATAAGTTTCTCCGCATGAAAACGCTTTTGTCTTTAAGAAACCGATTAAAATGTGTAATTCTATGAAATAATCAATAGGTTTTACAAAAATACACCGATCTGTCGATTCATTTTTATCAAATAACTAAACATTTTGACGCTAATTAAATATATTTCTTATGTGCATGTAAGTGTGTCCGAGACTTTCGACAGTTTTCGTTCTATATACATCAACAATCCTTTTATTCATAAAAAAAATAGAGATACATATTAGTTTTTAAAGGTATGTTACGTTCCGTAAGGGTGAAATAATAAGCAGCTAAACTTTAATAATTGAATTATTGACCATTTTATTGAGCCAGCGAAGAAAAATACTTACCATTTCATCCATTTTTTTTCATTAGCAACCGC